TCAAAACCATAAAGTGCTTCATTTAAATTCCTTACTCAGTCCTTTGTGGTATCTTCTTCTCCACACTTGGCCAACCATGTTTACCAAATGGTACAAAACAATCGATAAAATTCTCTCTCCATGGATAATAGCTTCTTATGAAGAAAAGGGTAAGAGTAGGTGAAACAGTTCTAATTTTATTCGTCTATGATCTGGTTAATACAGAGATAAAATGATTTCCAGTGTTTTATGGCTAGCACCTTTTGGTTGTAGAAAGGGAATTGGATTTTCTTCTTAATTTCCATTATAAAATTGCAGTTGAATCCTATGGAGAAAACTGTCTAACAGGATGGAAAGATGCCTCTGAGGAGATTTTGGGAAGGCAGCATTGAGTCCCAGGGACCAGGATCTTTGGGTAGGGTTGCGTGTTAGAGAGGGAGGCATGGGAATGCCTACTGGGACTTTCTGGTATCGCCTTACAGATAAACCATGTGTACTCAAATCTCTCAATTAAGAAAGGTTTACTTCTGGGCAACCCAACCTAAACCAATATATATATATATATGTACTTGACTAGACTGCTGGCTCCATCAGAAACAGGATATATTTGTCTCACTCATCATTTGACCTCCAGTACTTAGCAATAGTACAAGGTCAGCATGTAACTAGAGTTTATGCATAGGAGTGGTGCTACCAGATATAAAGAAAAAATGTGCTGTACCATCTACCTTCTACATACCTTTCCCGTCCTCCCAGAAGAATAGTGCTGTGTTTGTGGTAATCATCTCTACTACCTTCTACACAGCATCAACACGAATCATAAGAAGTTATGGCACTCATCCTTCAAGACATACTCCTGGATCTTCTATTAGACAGAAATCTTCTATCTCCTTCCATTATTGACCTTCTAAATATGGCCCCGTCCTCTTAGCACACTCTATGGCATCTTTATGACTGAAAGATAGGGCAATGTATGAAGCCATAGATATTACAGTATAAGGTTGAAGAATCCACACTTCAGAGTCAAATGGCTTCCACTTCAGTCTCAACTCTGTTACCCACTAAGTAGTCAATCTTGGAACAGCTACTCAATTTATGTCAAGATTCCTCTTCTATACGATACAGATAATAGTCCCTATGCACAGGATTATTTTGAAGATTAAATAATGTGATGTATATATAACAAATGATTCTAACTGTATTGACGAGAATGCAATAGATTAAATATCATTAAACATATTTAAACATATTGATCATTGAACGAGTAATACAGCTCCCTGAAAAATTACTAGTCCATTCCAAATTGTTTAGACAATTATTTCTAAAACCATATTAATATCTTCTTAGTCAAAGATTCCACCTCTATTATGTGACACTCCCCTCAGGTGGCCAGTACCATAGTGGGCCCCTAAATTTGTCTCTCTATACTTTCTCTCATGCATGGGTACACGTGTGCAAGTGCCCTTTCCTAAGGCTGCTAAGGAAGAGTAACAGAGGGGGTCAGACTGGTTAAGGTACAATATAGTTACTGGTCAAATACCAAGCCAAATCCACCCTGAACAATGAGTAGACACTTAAACAATGAAGGACAGGAATGCAAAACAGGTCATATTAAGGAGAGGATACTACCCAGGAAGAGGAGGGTAAACAGTAAAGGAGGGTGAATATGGTTGATGTATTTTCTACACTTGTACAAATATGGAACATTGAAACCTGTTGAAATCATTTTAAGAAGGAGAGACGAGGGAGAATAATAGAGGGGATGAACCAAACGGGGGTACATTATATGCATATAAGGAAATATCACAACAAAATCCCCTGTACAACTACTATATACTTATAAAAACATTTTTTTAAAAAGTTCTTAGAACTGACTTGTAATACCATGTTTCACCAGCAGTGGCGGCTGTTTGACACTGTCCTGCAAGGCTCTGAGCGAAAGCCTAAGGAATCCATTTTAAAAATTAAAATCTGATTTATTGTATTTATTTGAAGATATGCATGCAGTATGGCTTTTGCTGCATTGCACCAGGGATGGGCAGAGTTGGGAATACTTAATAACAGTGTTATATAGGACTCAGAGGAGGTGCTTTTTCCCAAGCGGCACAGACTGTATGTTCCTTGTGGGTTGTTGTGGTACTCAGCTGCCTTCCAATTATAATCTGAGGTTTGTAAACTGTCAGAAGAGTTCCTAGAAGTGGATAATTATGTTGCCTAAAACACACAACATAAGACAAACACTTTCTCTTAAATATGCTGTGTGTTGACTGCAAAGCAGATTTACTTTACAAATGCCAAAGAAAAACACTCAGAACCAAGACAAGGAAACTGGATGGGGCAGAGATATTAGAAGGCCAAGAAAAGAGCATAGGACACACAAAAAAATCCCATGGAGTATTATCAATCAGGGGCAGATCTGACTTGGCCTGTCCAGGTAAACATGCCTGGTGAGAGGTTAAGACCATAAACTTGGAGTCAGTTTTGTATCTTACCACAACTAAGGGAACCTGTGTGTTCTTTTGAGCATGATAACTTACCATGTTATAACTCAATTTCCTTGTCTATACGGTGGGAATAGTGATTCTTACATCATGAGGTTATTCTGAGAATCAAATTACATAACATACCAAACATGTCTAGAACACACAGTAGACACAGTCAAAACAATAGCATGCACTGGAGGCTGAGGGTATGGCTCAGGTAGCAGAACACCTGCCTAAAAAATAGCATGCACTGCAGACAATATCAATGCCAAGATCACATCCACTTCAAAATGACAGCTTCTTGTAGAGAGCATCCAAAGTGCTCTGCCTGGATGTTCTGTCTGCCCAGGTAGCTGGGGCAGGACGGAAGTGTCAGGAAGTTAACAATTCTACAACCAGCTCTTAGCCAATCATGCACAGAGTTTAGTGATTAAATACCTACTTCCTTACTTTTTGGGTGAGACAACTGTAAGGCTTGTTTCAAAGGTCCCCTGTGGTTTGATCCCCACTTATCCACTGTGGTAACCTACTCATGAATGCACCCCATATCATTTTCTATCACTTCTCTGTCTCTCTTTCCCACTTCTTCAACCAAAGCTGCCTGACTTACCTCCAAAATAAACCACGGACACTCAAATTCTGGTTCCAGAACAGAATCCAACCTACACACTATTTCTTACAACGTAAACAGGGTTTACAATCTGGAGAAATGGGTTTATAATAAAACATTTAGCTCAAGAACAGAGCCTTATCTCCTTGCAGTCCCTGTCTCATCCCTCAGCCTTTGCCTGACTTGAAGCCTTTCTCATTCAGTTCGTTTTCTGCCTGCACTATTGTCTCTAACTGATCTCATGCTTCCACGAACTCTGTCATCTAATCCACCACCCATTTACTGCCAAAGTTATTATCCTAAAATGCAGTTCTGGTAATGCCCTCGCCGAGTTTTGTTTTGTTTTTTTTTTTAACCATTTCTGTGCCATCTGTGATTGTGTCTTCAATTTTATGATATGGTATGAAAGACCATGTTATGAAGACTGTGTTATATAGACCAGCCTTAAAAGTTGGTTCTAACTAACCCTTCAGCCTCCTCTTCAGTGACTGTGGGACACAACCAATGCTCTGCAGCGAGATCACGCCAGTATCTTCTCAAAATCACTGCTGCCCATCACCTTTCTATACTTTAATGAGCTTGGGACTCTCTGCCCACACAACCAGCCTCATCCTTCAAGATCTGGCTCAGATGTTTCCTTTTCCCTGAGGACTTCTCCAACTCCTGAAGAAGTTACCAGATTCTTCCTCTGGAGTCTCACAGAAAATCTCCATTCATTGGTTCAATCATTCATTCAACGAGCATGTTCTGAGCATATTCTATTACGTACTAATCATGTACTAAGCCTTGGAAAGCAAGGCTGGATAAATGCAGAATAGTTCCCCTTCATGAATCTCCTAGTTGAGTGAAGGAAACAGAGATGCCAAGTAAGCATATAAAATTAGTTACAAACTGACATGAGATTGTACAATAAAAGACAGATTTGAACTCCTCAATGGTAAGGACCAGGTATCACTAAAATTATATCCACCCCAGCACTTAACAGAAAACAAAATTAATCTACCCACTTCATGGATGCAGGGGTTGAGGCTCAGGCAGGCTGAATGAGTCACCCAAGATAACAAGAGTGGCAGCTCCATAGAGCTTGAATGTATATCTACTAATCCTCCCTTGAACATCTTTCCTTAAACTGCCCCAAGGCAAACCTCTCCCCTCCCCATCTTTTTATTATTTTTAAAAGAACGCAAGTTTTTCTGTGAACTCTTCTTTCAAGGGACCCATAGCAAAAAAAAAAAAAAAAAAAAAGCCAGTTGTGTGTGTTGGTCTTCTGGGGTTAGAGCAAGAAGAAGACTTTGTTCTAGGGCCGAATTCTTTTCTGGAGCCCGAAAGGGCGTGGGTCCTAAGAATTAGAATTCGCTGTCATAAGGAGGCCCCCGGGGGGCGAGGGGGAGGGCATCCTGGGTGACCCTGGGGTCCGGAGTGAAAAGACTGCACTGGGCTCTTCAGAGTAGCGATTAAGATATCTCATTTCCCTCTTCCCAAACCTCCTTGTCCTTCCACTCAGATGCAGGGGTTTGGGAAACATCCCAATTTCCCGGCTATCCCGCCGGGTTGAGGAGACAACCTTGTCTGGCAAAAGCATCCTCCAGGCCCAGACATTCATCTCTGTCCATTTCAAGGCGCCCGACCCCTGCACCGTATATAACCAAGTATTGCCACCATCGGGGTGGGGCGGGGGGGAAGACAAGGCGGCCGCTGTTGGTGGGCTTTATTCACAAGACCTGGGCAAATCCCATTTTAGGGCTGCGACCAAGAGCTTCATTTGCGGCTGGTTCAGAAACTTGGCTTGCTGAGGGCCGGGAAGGGAGGTGGGAGCGGGGGTGGGGCGGGTCGGGCGCGGCTCCTCTGAGGATTACGGCGGAGGCTGTGGACCGCGGCGCCGCTCGCAGAGGCTGCAGCCATAGCCCTGCCGAGCATCCCACATTCAACAGGAGGAACGGGCGGGAGAGGAGCCCCGACCCCCAGCGCCGCAGCCGCCGCAGCCCGTGCGCCCCGCGCCCCTCGCGCCATGGCCAAGGAAGGCGTGGAGAAGGCGGAGGAGACAGAGCAAATGATCGAGAAGGAGGCGACCAAGGAGCCTGCGGAGGGTGGCGGTGGAGACGGCTCGCACCGCCTCGGGGATGCTCAGGAGATGCGCGCCGTGGTCCTGGCCGGCTTTGGGGGGCTCAACAAGCTGCGGCTCACCAGGAAGGCCATGCCAGAGCCGCAGGACGGCGAGCTCAAGATCCGCGTCAAAGCCTGGTCCAGTATCCGCGCCTTTCTCGTTTTCTATCTTTGCACTCTTGACGCTCTAAGAGGGGGTGGGAGAGCTTTGGCGGGGACCCTGTCCGGGTGGGTACCCACCGCCTGCGCCCTCTGCGCGCCCACCCCGGCTCTCAGAGCCTCCCCACGGTCCGTGGCCAGCCAGGGCAGGAGAGGATGCTGAGAGGTAGTGCGCCCCTTCACCACAGCAGATGGAGGGTGACTTGGGAGGATGGTGGCACCCAGCACTAGGGACTGGAAGACTGCGCTGTGGGGGCTTGCGCTGTAAGACTGCTCAGCTGGCTAGCCCGGGAGTGGGGGTTGATGATTAAAAAAAACAACGACAACAATTTAATAGCTGCGGGCCTACGGTGGTGTGACAGTTTTTAGTTTTACATGGGCAATCCTATTCAAGACTTCCTGGGACCCAGCAAGTTAGGCACATCAGTTCCAGGTGAGAAAACCGCCGCTCAGAGGGAACGGATGGGTGATTTGCCCAAGATCACTCTGCTACCAGTAAGTGGCCTGGCCAGGATTTGATATTTGGTCTTTTTAACCTCGACTTGTTGTCCTGAGGGGGTTGGGGGACAGGGTGCAGGGCTGGGTCCCCCTCTCCTCCATATTTCCCTCCCTGTGGCCTGTTGTGAGAAAAGGAACTGTCTGGGAAGTCAGAGGATTAGGTATCCAGTAGCTAAACTGGGTGAACGGTTAAGCCTTCTTTCTCCTACATCTTCTGTTATCTGGGGGGGGGTAGGGGGCATCCTGATCAATCTTGACTGAACTCCCGCTCCTATCTCAGAAGCCCAGCTCTCTAAGAGGCCCTCTATTCTCCATTTCCTGGGGAAACTTCTCCATACATACTCCTAGCCAGAATTCCCCTGGTGTGGGTAACCCTTCCTGTGTGTGCAGGCACTATACCATAATTTATTTCCCTGAACTTTCTGGGGAGGCTGATGGAAAGGAGGCTGGACCCAATGCTGCAGCAGCCTAAGAAGCTTGTAAGGGTCACTGGCTGTTTCCTCAGAGAGATGAACCTAGCCTTTTTCATCTCTGTGTTTGATGCTTCAACACACATTGCTGCCTAAAGCAGCAGCCAGCATCCATGTTCCCAGGTTAACTCAGAAACCCAGAATCTGGGACCTGACCTACAGACAAGAAAAATGCGAAGGAGATTCCCAGACCCCCTTGGCCACCTTGAGAATGGACACAGATTTCATTTGCCAATTAGGAGGCAGTTGTGGGAACCACGGGGTTGATCCTAGCTCACTCCTCATCTACACCTGGTCTATTTGCCTTTAAACACTACTCTGATGCCTCTCTGGGGAATTCAGGGTAAGAAAAGAGACTTCTGCAAGCCCAGGGGTCCTATATAGTTCTTTCTGTTAACACTAACTGAACCAAGCTCTCTGATCCCAGAAAACAGAGTTTGTATCAGCCCATTTCTCCAGTAAGTCCCCAATGTCCAGCACAGTGCTTGGCGTACTGTGTATCTTGAATAAGTGATTGCTGGATGAATGGATTGAGGAGAAAGCTTGGAGGATGATGGATGACTCAATTTTTCTTTACTTGATGGTTGAAGAACTTCTGCCTTGTACAATTAAAACCATGTATTAATAACTCTCCTTAACCACCCCATCAAAAACATATGTGTGTACATACATAAGCATATATAATACACACAATAATATAGATTTGTGTGATTTATGAAGCTTCACCCAAATTGAGGATTGGATTCTCAGACTTCTATGTCAGAGTGTATATTCAGAGAATGAAATGTTGCCGCTACTTTTTAAAGAAAAGAATCTTATCTGTGTGCAAATAGGTCTGTTTTCTCTAACCTCTGCATTCGGTAGCCTTATGCTGACTGCATAAGTGCTCACAGGAACTGAAGCATTTTGAAATAAGAAATGTCAAGGTTGATTTTCAGAGTCATACACACATTTGTTTTTCAGTGGGGCTGCACACACACACACACACACACACACACACACACACACAGGAATCACTACAGATCTCCCACCTGTTCAGAAAGCCATGCAGGCCTGGAGTGCACTTGAATGCAATATTGCTAAGGGTCCCAATTGATTTTTCTTTCACCAAGCCGGAAACAGAATTAATCAGTTTTGCGAGGGAGGACTGGAATAACTTGTGAAAATGGCCCACTGGGTTCTTCCTCCTCCACTGGACTGGGATTGGCTAACTAAAGAAGTCCATTGATTATAAGTTTTAGCTTTGAGATTCAGGATGACTCATTCTGTATTTTTTATGAATCAACTGATGGCCTCAAGGATGAAGGTCCTCTTTTATCTGCTCTCTTTTTAATGAAAAGCTTTTGTCGTGAAATAGGATATGCTTTTTGCTAGAAATAAAAGCATAATACCTTTGAACTAGTATTAGTAAGACCGGAACAAATGTCAATTTGGTTATCCTGTACATTATATGGAAACGAAAGAGAAGAGACAGGAAGAAATACTTATTTATGTCATTTACTCTCTTATTCATAGACTGATGTGACAGGTATTTTTCTTATAGAACAAATTGGGGTTGGGGACATGAGTAATTTGTCAAAAATATTTCAAAATACTAGAGATAGGATTTGAATCTGCCTCTACTTAAAGCTCTGGTGTTTTCATTTTATTCCATTTTCTTTTCCTTGGTGGAAATGTGAGGAAGTTGATGTGTGTAGTTTCATTCCTTTCTTTTGCCCATAAATATGGATCCATCACTGTTTTTATGAGGGGCTTAAGGGAATGTTTTTTGGCTATTCCCAGAGTAACATAGCAAGTGATTACATGCACCTCAAAAAGCCTCTGCTGAGCTAGGTGTGGTGTCCAGAAGCTGTGGTCCCAGCTACTTAGGAGGCAGAGTAGGAATCACAGTCTGAGGCCTGCTCAAGCAAAGTTAGCACAAGGCACCATCTGAAAAACAAATTAAAACCAAAAGGACTCGGGGTATGGCTCAAGTGTCTAGCAAGCATAAAGCCCTGAGTTCAACACCCAGTACTACAAAAATAAAAAAAGAATAAAAAACAAAAGAAAAAAGAAACAGACGGGGGGAAGAATAGCTGCAAGAACAGCAGAGTCTTCTGTCTAAAGAACATCAGCCCAATGGAGGACCCATCCAATTAGTCATTGACCAGTTTACAAAGCAAGAGGCTTAAGTAGCCGAGTAGAAGAGGTGTGTGGCCTTTGAAGAAAGGAGGACCTGGGTATAAGCTCAAGCCCAGTACCTCCCTATCTGTTTCACCTCACTAGGCAGTTAGTTCTCAATTTCTACAAGTTCCCTGGGCTCCATCTGCAAAACACAGATTGTTAACATATGCTTGTTGGTGGCCAAAAAACTTGGAGGCCATTTTTTTTTCAGTGCTGGGAATAGAACCTATGGCCTCAAGCACGCTAGGCAAGTACTCTACCACTGAGCTACACCCCCAGCCCAGAGGCCATCATTTTAATCATGTATGTCATATAAGCAGATTCATGCTGCACCTGCTTAGTAGTTAGGAGCCAGACTTCCTGGACATGAATCCCAGCTCTTCTACCTGCTAACTGGATGTCACAGGTCTGGGTCCTTGGAGGCAGAGCCTGGCATGGGAATCCTTTTTTCAAGTGGTTTATTGAGGGAGTATGTTCAGGACAACAAAAACACGGGAAGGAGTCTGGGGCAGAGGAGAGAGCTAACCAAGGATGAGGTCTCAGTTGGGTCCCATCAGAGTCAGTCACTCTTAGAAACAAGAAACAAGGAACTCCTTTTGTTTCAGTGGCTGGGCTGCTTCCTAAGTGGGGGCATGGTATCTCTAAAGCAGAGGTAGCTTGGATTTGAATAAACACAGTTCTCCAGAAAAGAGAACAGCTTTGAGCCATGAGCAGCCAACATTCCCAGTGGGTAAGGAATGGATAGACACCCTCTAGCTGGCACTGACCATGTTCCTTAATTCCCCTAAACCTCAGTTTCCTTGTCTATAGGATGGGGATAATAATGAAGTCTCTTTCCTTTGTGCAGTACTGGAGTTTAAATGAGGTATAGCATGTAAGACTTTTATGATGGTCTCCATTATAATGCTCAATAAATGATAACTACTGTTACGGAAACTATTATTTTTGGTTGCCATAGATACTCTAGATAGTTTAGCATTCAAATTGAATGCTTTTCAAAGTGGAAGGTATGCTATTGGTAATTACTCTTGGAAAACAGAAGCAAAGTGGAACTATCATAAGGCAAGTCAGGCTGTGTGGTCTCCCCTAACTGATAAGCATCAGATATGTACTCTTTTTGCTGTCAGTCTTGTCACGATGGTGTGTCTCTTGGAAAGGGGCAGGTAAGGTTTGAGGCTGGCCGCAGGTCTCCAGGTTGGGTGGTAGGAATGTATTTAAGTGACCATTAACAAGCCTTGTCTAGCTTGTGGCTCAAATTGGCTTGTGGTGGAAAGGCACTAATGGATTGGGGACATTTATTTTCCCAGAGTGATTTACAGTGAGAGGCCATATGAAACTGCTGGAAAGAGACCAATTGGATGAAAAATGGTTCCAGTCAGTCTTGGCTCCATTGGCTGATCTGAAAATGGGCTGAGGGCAGGCCACATAGAAGAAAGCAACAAGATTGGTGGCTTTGTTAATGTCACAAGGGTAATTTGGGGATAGGAGAGGGAAGGCTCATTTAGTGAGTAGTCATGAACCAGCAACTGAGTTGCCCGTTCTCCTTGGTTCCATTTCATCCTAATGGCAATGCAACAGCACCAGAGTTACTGTTTCTGTTTTAAAGAGAAGGAAAGGTATTGCAGAACAGGTCAGGATCCCAGACTGCCAAGCCCAAGAATGATATGAAAAACCAAGTCTGCCTTGTCCCTGGAGTTCTTATAACTGGGAACCAGAGAATCAGAAGGCATGGTGACAAAGGCACACAAGAATAGGAGAGAGATAGAGATGAGAGAGAGAAAGAAAGAGAGAGAAATGGTGAAAGACCAAGAGGCACAAGAGTAAGACAGACCCACAGTTGGAAGCACA